CAGCTGTGGCCTGCTGCTGCTGATAGAGGGTGTGCATTGGGGACAAGGACGATGAACGGTCATCAGCAAGTGACGCTCGGCGGCGGCGGCGCCGATGATCATCACGATGACGACGATCATCCTCTACTTCCCCGCCAGGAATCATCTCCGAGGGTAGTGAACTGCCTGAATGTTATTGGCCGCTCACTCCAACACGAAAACTGAGATTGTGGTAAACGTAGATAAGTCTGACGGGGGGTCTATTAGATAGAGTCCTCATCGTTCACATCAATGTCGATGTCCATCCTCTTGTACTTCACAGAGCCACTCACAATGCCTGACACTCAGATGAAATGCATCATATGGTACGTTCCACCAACCCTCCAAGTACCTGCTTCCTCAAGTTCCCGATCATGCTTCTCTCGGAGATCAGCAACGAGCTTTTTGATCTCCTGACTTATCAGCTTCTTCTTGTCCTTATTACCCTTCTTAGGCAACCTCATTCTGAGCAGCCACACCATCAATATGATCATCAATGCCCCAGAATACGTAACAGAAAGGTACGCCTTGTGTGTACACTCACGGATGTAAGTCCGTAGCGTAAATTATAGAGCACGTGAATGGACTTCACAACAGGAAACATAACAAACTAGTAACGAGGACGATAAAAAGACGTTACACTGCTAAATTATGTCATCGATGAGCACACTCGGGAGAGGTTGATCGAAACCTGTGATGGTCCAAAGCGCTGCTGAGCTCCGTCGCTTGGTTTGTGGAGTCGTGTCGCTTGCAAGGCCCACGACAAGAAGACCAATGAGCATTTGTACTACTACTACTACTACTACTACTACTACTACTACTACTACTACTACTACTGCTACTACTACTACTACTACTACTACTACTACTACTCCTACTACTCCTACTACTCCTACTACTCCTACTACTCCTACTACTACTACTACTACTACTACTACTACTACTACTACTACTACTACTACTACTACTACTACTACTACTACTACCGCTGCCTCTTAAGATCAGCCACCTGAACCTTCATTTTCTTCCACTCTTCAGTGTGCCTTCGGAATATCTCGTGATTGGAGACGGTCTTATCCCCATCAGTCTCAGCATTCTGCGCTGGCACCTACAACGAGAGGACAACGAAATCGTTGACGACTGCCCCAGAGATCCTTCGTTACCTTCTGGGAATCAGGTTGTTCCTCCTCGAGAGCGGCATCGGCCTCCACTACTGTATCGACGTCCATAGCGGTAGATTCGAAAGGAGTGGCTCTCT